TTTCACTTATTATAAGGACGACTCTTTGTACCTCTCTCTAGGGACGTCTCTTCTGTCCCTGTGTCTTTTTACTCTTTGTTTGTCATTTTTCTCTCCCTCAGGAAGGTTTTTACAGCTGCAAAACTGTGCTGTGCACATTACATAATAACATTACAGTGTTCATTCTCTACACATTGTGTCCATGGAAACCAAGACCATTTCCTTCCAAATAATGACTTCATCACAGACAGAGTTGCATGAATAATTAAAGTCTCTCTCTCTCTCTAACTCTGATCCCGGTCTCTGTGCAAAAATAACAGTCCACACCCTTCAGCAATGTTACTCGATGTCTCACAAGCACAAGGACAGAGAAACATACACACAAAACATCACACTTAAATATGGCTCAGTATCTGACAGATTTATGTCTTGGTCTTTCTTCGATATACAAATGGGAGATGGATTAAATTAAAGCTTTGTAATGAAACTAAATGGATTCTCTGTCTTATTGTGAACAATTAATTTATATTAAGTGAGACATAGCAAGAGTTAAATAGGGGCGTCTCCCAAGACAGAGAACAAGGACAGAGCTTCATTGGTCTGTTCTCTCGAGGGGAGCTGTAGCCTAGTTTTCCACTCTGTCATTCTGGAACTGATTTTTGCTGGCAATAAGCTAACACATGTGCAGAAAATCCACTAGAAATCCCGAAATTCTACAGCAACAGTAGTTGCTGCATTTAATCTTTCCTTTCTTTCTTTGCTAGATTCATTCATCACTGGTAATCAGCTCTTTCCCTGCTGGCCAATCAAAGTGAAGCTTTCCTAAGTGATGTCACGGCTTTGCCTATTAGGACTGCTATTTGTCTTACAGATTTAGTGACATCATCACTCAAGAGACTACAGGTCACTGACCTCTGGCTGTACAATAATGACTCTGCATATGTTATTTCCTTCTACTGTTTCCTTCATCAGTACCTCATATCTCTTTCCACTGTCACACACATCTAGATGTTTCACACAATGCTTTGAGGCTGGAACAGGTCCTCAAAAACCTTTCCATGAATGGTGGTACTTTCCATAAATGCACAAATGCCAAGAAGTTTAAGCACTATTTTGTACTCTATTCATAGAAAGTGCCCAGTGAGTTGTGTATTGGATCTTACCATTCTGGTACCAGTCCATCTGAAAGCCTCTGTATGAGACAGACATGTCGGAGCAGAACACAATGTGGAGGCTGGTACCGGTGGTGGTACTGGCTGGAGGAGGTGTGTTCCCACAGAACGTGCCAATCAGAGCAGCCTGATCATTTGGACCGTCATAGAGCTAGACAGGAACAGAAAGACAGATTATTTTCTGGTCATTACAGTAAAAGACTGTTAACTATCATATACTACCACTAAATAACTAAAACTGAAATAAAAATTAGTAAACAATATATTATATTATATATATAATAGTATATTAATGATAATAAATGACACTGTTTCTGGCGTTAATAGCAGCAGTGTTGTTTTACTTGTGTTGTTTTTATGGCTATTTATAGGAAATTATATAAAAATCCAAACAATTATACTATTTTTCTGACAGAGTTGACATGTGGTTATGACACAAAAATGGACACAATTTACTTAAAATTGTAAAATTAATACAATTTGTTGAGAAAATGTACACAGTTGTGAAACCATATTAAAACCTTTTTGGTTGTA